CCCAGCTATCCTACTCACCAGACGAAACGCAGAAGTGCAACGGTCGTAGTAACCGGACGGACCTGCCCATTCGTGCAACAGTGAAAACTATTTCGTGGCCCTACCACAGTAACATATTCTAAATTAGCCATAGAAGGTGTTGCATTATATTTTTTTCTTTTTTTTAAACATTGCCCTTACACAATAATTTCTTGTATTTACGCGATTACACATTATAAATGAAACTAATTTTACTTTTTCAAGGTAGCAAGAGAGGCAAAAAATGCAAAAAAACAATTGTCACATAAATTTTTGATGGTGCCTTTTGAAAAACGCAAGCCAGCTTTAGTTTACTAAGAAACACATTTTATTATTATCATTATAGGCTGATTCAAAATAACAACAAATACTAATTTTATTATATTAGTAGGAGCGTTGTTAATGATGAAAAAGCAAGAGTGTAATAACTAGCTATTTATTTTCATTTGAGTTTAGATCGATGTAACATTTGTGATATTATGTTTTTGTTCAATTAGTTATTTACAAAACTTACGTGGGCCGTTCAATGTATCCTCGGTAAAGGCATGAAAGAATAATAAGAAAATTTGGATTTGAGCGTGAAAGTAACTTTTTAATACGCTATGAAAAATATTTTTCTTCCTGTTCTTAAAAATTTCCTTGATTGCCGCTTTCAACTCCGGAAAACCTCCGCTTTACCGCCGGAAAAATTCTTACCTCAAAGATGTACAGAAACTAATCACTATGGGGATATATATGTAGGGCGGATGATTGACTTCTACTCCCGCACAGCAGCTTTGATATGGTGCCTTTTGTGAACCTCTCGTTAGAATTATTTTTGTAAAACGATATTTGAAAATTTTTATGCGCTGTAAAGGATAAAAAGATTTAATGTACATAATTAGTATGCTGTGGCAATTAGTTTTCCGGTAGTTGGTGTTTTGTATTAACTCATCATTTCAACAACATCTTTGAACTTCGGGAATGATTTTTGCTGAATACATTTGCGTTAAATATTTATCTTAAGAACCCATAATGTCACCGATTACTTGAAATATTGCATTGTCAGTTCTTCCCAGTAATCTCTCTTTTAGAATCTCGCAAAAAATATCGCAAGGGCTTTTCGCTTCCATACGCCAGAAATTGTTTATTTTGAGCAGCTACAGTAATTTGTTTCAAAATTTTCCATGTTTTATCCGTTATTAAAGCCCGAATCGATTAACATTTTTACTTTAATGTTCACCTTTACTTTAATGAGCACCTTTTTTGTTCCTTCGACATTGTAAATTCTCTTATATCTGTTTACTATCCCGTATACCTTGTTACTTCCGTTTCTTGTTTCCTTTCCATGAGTTGTTTTGTCCTACATTGTCTTCGGAAATGTCCCTGAAGTCCGCATTTTAAACCATACTTTCCTTTTACAGGGCAATTTTGTCACGTCTGAAATGCATTCTACTACCTAAACGAATGCTCTAGGTGTGGACCGAGAGCATTCGTTTTTATTTGAATTATTCGAACCACTCTCTGCTACTCTATTGGCACTCAAAGTCATTTAGTTGGCGCTCAACAGCTTTGAGTATTGTTGCTTCAGCTTTAATATCTTCTATAGTTATAGTATCGCTATGCTTCAAGATCTTTTTCCGTAATACAGCTGACGAGCATTTTTCGGTAATTTGGCTAATTATATTTTCATTTTTGTCAGTAACCACTAAGTCTGCCTGTTGTCGAAATCTAACCAGAAATTTTTAAAACTCATAGGGTTGTAAACTAAGTGCTTGAGACTTCTAAAAACATACCGTTCAAATGCGAGGCATTACTTGAGTGCAAAGTATTCATCAAATTTTTGTATTGCCATCTTCATTCATCAAAACTTTAATTGATCCTTCGGCATTTTGTTTCGCATTGGCATCTGGAAGGCTCTCAAAAACTTCTTGTCATTCTTGTACCAAGTTTGCATTTTTCTTTCCTTCACCATCTATGTCTGCAGCTTCCAAATATATTGCAACGTCGACCTGCACAGCGATTGCAGACTCCCGACGATTCGCGAATATTTTAAAGACCTGACCAAACGGTTCTTCGATAGAGCCGAACATCATCCCAACTCTCTGGTGGTAAGCGCAGCAAATTACCAACCCGACACAAACGCGAACGTCAACAAGCGTCGCCCGAGAAACGTCCTAATCGACCCGGTCGAGGAAGGGGACTTAGATACGTCGGACCCACCGCCGGGGGTCCCGCCGGACAACACTACACCCACAGTTAGTGCAACAACAAACACTCTAGTTCGCCCTCGCCTCCGAGCACGGCGAGACCAACACAACGCGTACACAAGGTACACCCGCGTTCCGGGGCGGTTCTCACCGCCCCCAGCCACTGATTAGCTAATTGCACAGTCGACGGCCATCGGGGTTTCGGTCCGAACTGCGACCTCGATGGCCCTTAGATGACACACCATAGTTAAACGCACGCATGAGCACATGCGTGGCCCTACCCACAGCGGAGAGCCCAAACCCGTGGGTTCTGGCTCGCCCACCGGTTCTGCCCTGCGTCAGATGAAGCTTTAATAGTCTCGGGACTGAAAGCAAAAACATCAGTTAATACAAGATACAAGAGCTTCCGTATACGTATAGTCCTCTCTTCCATTTTTCCCATCTGGTAGCCGCACACGATATCCTCGTATAACCTCTATTGGTCTAATGTTATTTAATAGCGAGTATTCATACCATTGTTGATTCGTTGCGTAATTTGTTACGAAACATTCTGCTTTCGTAAAAAAAAAATCCCTTCTTTGTTCGCGTAAATATACAATAACAATTGTCGAAAAGCAAATGTTTTTGTATATTGATTGATTTCGTAATTAAAAACTCGTAAGCAATGGTTCGAAATAGTTATGTCTTTCTTATAGGCTTTCTTTGAATAGCTTCGCGGTCCTTTTAATGTCGATCGCAGTCCAAGCCAGAGTTCAAACCTTCTTCTGAGAGACTATTTAATCATATTAATACGGGGGGTATTAGTTGAATTGTCAGTCTATCGTTAACAGGGGTATCACGGAGATGCAGCGGAGCCGACAACGTCATCGTGCACCAGCAACATTGTCTTCTTAAGTTCGGGTCGTCTGCAATATCGTATTTTCTTTTTGTTATAAAGCTATGTCAGGAGTCAAGCGAGCTGGCGGTTCACCTGATGTTAATTAAAAACTGCTGCCCATTGACATTTGCTTTTGCATTTTTTTTGAAGTCGTGTTACTTACTCGGATAGACCTGTCTATTCTTGAAACAACAAAGACTGTTGCATGGCACTAAAGCATTCTCCCGAAAAAGCCGCGGAGCTAACAAGAAACGAAAGAAAAAATATAAAAAATAATACTCACAGTTTTGTTACTCATAAAATATTAAATAAATGAACTGAAAAGTGATTTAAACTAAAAAAAAGGAATTTCATTTAAATACTATACATATACATTATACAGGGTGGCTTTTCTAAGTGTATCCATTTTTTATATAAAAAATGATAAATATTTAAAGTCATCTCAAAAAGTGCGTGATTTATACGCAACTCAATTATTTTACGCGCGATCATTCATAACTAACACGCACACAAGTTCGTGCACAGTACAATTTAGGTATTTATGAATGACTACCGTATTGTTACAACGATTACACTACCGAGTCTGAACCTCCTGTATAAATTTGGGCACTTCTCAAAAACTCGCCCCTGTAGATAATCAGAGATATTAATAGGTTGGGGAAAAACTCTTTTCACATTAACATATAAGTTCATACATTCGTATGTTGCTTCCAACGAAGAAATTCGATACATTTTAAAATTGTACTACAAAAAAGGTAAAAATGCAACACAAGCCGCGAAAAAAATTTGTGTTTATGGACCTAGTGCAGTGTCTGTGACAGTAGCACAGATTTGGTTAGCGTTATTAATCCGGAAATTTTGATGTCATAGATGCACCTCGCTCTGGGCGCCCTGTTACGGATAAAATGGATGCCATTTTTGAAAAAGTGGAGCAAGATCGGCATATCAGTAGTTTCGATGTAGCTAAATAACTGGGAATTGACTACAAAACAGTTGTGGCGCATTTGAAAAAAGCTGAGTACACAAAAAAGCTTAATATTTGGGTGCCTCATGAGCTCACTGAAAGAAACCTAATGAACCGTGTACTCATTTGTGATTCTTTCTTACGACGTAATGAATCCGAACCATTTTTGAAAAACCTGATAACTGGTAATGAAAAGTGGATCATGTACGACAAGAACGTGCGAAAAAGGTCGTGGTCAAAGGCTGGTTAGGCTTCACAGACTCTGGCAAAACCCGGGTTATCTCGCAACAAGGTAATGCTGTTTTTAATTTTAATAATAATTAATTAATAAAAAAAATTTAATAATAATTAAAACAAGAAGTTGAGAGAAAGCGGTCAGAATTAATCAACAGAAGTTGTGTGGTTTTCATCATGATAACGCTAGACCTCACACATCTTTAGCCACTCAGCAAAAATTAAGAGACTTTGGCTGGAAGGTGTTAATGCATCCGCCGTATAGTCCTGACCTTGCGCCTTCAGTTTTCACTTGGCTCTGTCTCTTCAGAATTCTTTAGGCAGTGTCGCGTTTACATCACGAGAGGGCTGCCAAAATCACTTGTCGCGGTTTTTTGATCAGAAGCCCCAGAATGTTTAAAGTAATGGGATCATGTCCCTACGTACAAGATGGCAGAAAGTTACGGCACCTACATACTTTAGTTAAATATAAATAAACTTTATTAAACAATGTTCTGAATTTTCATATAAAATGCGAAGAAACTTTTTCCCCAACCTATTATATATCAGTGTTTGCACTATATGTTTTATAAGGTGATATTCTATTTGTGTAGGAATTTTACCCTTGCAACATTATTTTATTGAATCTATTATAAGGCCAGTCTTCTGTTTTGTGATTGGTTACCATATGAAATTCATCGCTTAAAGTAACCAATATTCACATTTCACAGTGTAAAAAATGTCGTCGCAGGTGTAGGCACTCACTTGTATTCTCGGTTTAATTTGTCAATTCTAACGCGGGTGCATCCATTTTTTAATCCACTTTGGCATATAGTTGTTGCATAGGTCATATATTCTTGGATAACATTTCTTAAAGGTACTCTTGATTTAGAGATTACTTCATTACTTTCCCTTCCTGTGACAGATGATCATAAGCAATGTTTTTTTATATTTGTAAATAAAAACAAAGGTACAGTCTAACAGGAAAATAGTTCATAAGATTTTATAAATAGTTCTTTTGTTCATTGAAATTGTAGATAAACATCCAAAACGGCCAAGTCGCAGTTTCTCATTTTAAGTAATGGAAAGTTCCAATTATTTCGAATCATATTACGGAGAAAGAAAATGATAATGTCATAATCTTCTATTTACGCAGAGATGGCCGATGAAATGGACCCGTGCGAGTGCCTGTGGAATCATGAATTGGCGATGCGGCGGCTTATTTCACTGGTGAGCATGAAATTTAAATATTATCAGACGTCCTTGGATTAATTTGTGTAAAACAACTTCGACATTGTGAATATTCCACGTCTACATTTTGGTGTTATAATAAAAGTAACTTAGTATATCTGTACACAATTGTAACAATAATTATTTAATATGTATTAACAAAAATTGTTTAATTAAAATAGTAAATAATCTCAAAATCTTTTTGTTTTTAGTTTTTCATGTTTATTGTTAACAAATCTTTTTCATGAGACATTATTACTTAAATTTTTTTTATTACTTCTTTGGAACGTCCCATTAGCCACACTAACAAGTATTCGATAAACGCTTGTGCCTTATCAGTATGGGCTTGTAACAGGCTTGTGGATAATTGCAACACATGTAAATGAAATATGTAAAATATGTTTGTGTTATTGGACAAAAAAAGCTTTTCATAATGCAAATTGGATAGTTTAAGATTTTAAAAGTTTTTAGAATCCTTATATCACTGTGGCTGAATGTATAAACAATTGATTGAATTAAAAAAAAGGTATTAAACATGATTTGAAGATCTTTTATGAGAAAGTATTAGGGTTAACTTATATTACTATTGTACTATTTTTTTTTTGTTGTTAGGAAGTTTACTATAAAATAAGATTATCCTATCTGTTCTAAAGTAATTGATTGTTTTCTTATACTAATATTAAATTTAAATATTAGTTCATATATTTCAATATGTTACTACATATTAGCTTTATTATAAAATGTTTATCACTCTTAAAGTAGGTTATCGAGATTTTTATTAATACAGCTAAGCTCAATCAATTACTCTTTTATTTAGTAGTTTTATGTGGGAAAAGACTCTAGACTACATAAATATTTACTCTAGATATATATATATATATATTTTTGAATATTGTACATTGGCAAATCGCCAAATTTAATAACAAAGGATGTTTATTTTAGTATCACTGTATGATATTTCAGTATATTTTTATAAATATGTATGGATTTAATTTATTTGCTGAACTAAATAAAATTCCAGAATAAAAAAGATTAATTAAATTGACCATTTACAGCAAACTGAAGTAATAATCCGAAGCATAATATAATTGCTTGAAATCTTATATGAGGTATCCATAATGCTTTTTACCTCTTCATCATCTAACAGTAACTTTGTTCTTAGAATAAATTTAATATTCATATTAAAAAAATCAACAGTCAAGGAGAAACATTTAAAACCAGTTTATAAGAAACTTCTAAAATAACAGAGCTGTAATAGATTAGTGCCTGGGGGCTCACTTTTGAATAAAATTGAACTTGAGCACCTTGGGTTGAAATTTGCAACTTAAGTGATATTTTATCTCATGCTCACAAACTGAAAGAAAAAACATTACAGGGAAATCTGCAAATTTTCAAAATAATAATAAACAAAATAATTCATAGATTTGTGAAGTCCACAATCCGCAATGTGCTTGTGTGGTGGACTATGCCCTAGTACCCTATGTATAGAGGAGGTACTCTGTTACTTAATTGTTCTTATAAAGAATAATGGCCAGATTTGGTCTCCATAAACATGATACTTAATATTCCCTCCTGTTGGTAAATTAGCTTTTCAATTAATGATTATTATTTGAGTTAACAACAGCAAATAATTTTTATCCTTTCACTTCAGTATAAATATACATCTTAATACATTTACATTTCCTTAGCATTATTTTTTTTATTTTTATTTATAGGGACATAAAACATACAGGATTTGGACATACATACAACATAATGGATTTTCTAATTATTAAACTAAACGTATAACCCACACCAATGTCCGCAAAATAATATTAAATAAAATAAAATAAAAAGAGTAAGTCGGTTCCTAACCTAATTTGCATATTACTTTTTAAGTATTAGTGTAACCATTCTTTTAAATTGATTTTGGGAAAGTGAAAACAAATCACAATTCTTAAATTTAGAGTTATATACATCTAGCACTCTACGAAGCGGTGCTCGCTGCCCAGCATGTGTTCTACACTTTTCAGTGTAGAACAATTGGGGCACGCGTGCATCGCGTATGGTAACTCTTCTTGGTACAATGTAAGCAATCCTGTTAGTAAGCTCCATACAGTCGAATTTATTATTACATAATCCATATAACAGCATAGCCATAGCGAGAGTGCGCCTGGACTCCAAACTCAATATCTCATATTTTTCTAATAATTGTACATAAGAAAGCCTAGCGTGAAAACATTTAAAGTGCATAGTGCGTAAGAATTTCTTTTGTACAATCTCTATTCTTGAAATGTATTTTTCATAGAAGGGATTCCATATTGGAACAGCAAATTCTAATTGAGAACGAACCAAGGTTTTGTATAAGAGTAGGAAAGTCGAAGGACGCTTAAAGTCATTGGTCGAACGCATAACAAATCCAAACAACCTAAAAGCATTATTAATAATATTAACAATGTGTATATTAAAGTGCAGCTTTGAATCTAGAGTCACACTAAGATCTCTAATGAAGTTAACCCTTTCTAAGGGTACATCATTAATAAAGTAATTGAAACTAAGAAAATTTTTCTTTTTCGTAAAAGATATCATTTTACATTTGGGTAGACTTAGGTTCAATTTATTTCCTAGACAGTATCTAGAAAATCTGTTCAGATCTTCCTGGAGAAATATGCAATCCTCCAGAGTTCGACATGTCTTGTAAATTTTGATATCGTCGGCGTACATTAAAAACTGTGAATGAAGAAAACAAAATTTGAGATCATTGATGAATAGAATAAAGAGAAGAGGCCCTAAGATAGATCCTTGAGGAACCCCAGAAGGAACAAATATATAATCTGATTCAAAGCCATTAATAACGATTTTCTGCGTCCTTCGAAATATGTATGACGAAAACCACCGCAGTAAATTTCCACGAATGCCATTATATGCTATCTTGTCCAGAAGTAATTTATGATCCACCTTGTCGAAGGCTTTTTGAAAGTCAGTGTATACTGTATCAGTATGCTGTTGCGAATCCATGTTTTCAAATAAGTGGTTTGTAAATACCATAAGATTGGTAGTTGTGGATCGACGTTTTATAAAGCCGTGTTGTTCAGGTATGATAAGATTATGAATATAAGGGTACAAGGTGTTGTGAATTAGTCTTTCGAAAAGCTTGGCCAAGGTGCTTAGTTTAGAAATTGGTCTATAATTTTCTATATTACTTTTATCGCCACTCTTATAAATTGGAGTAATGTAAGCACGCTTCCAAATGTTTTGAAATTTGAATTTCCTTAAGACACTTATTAAATAAAATTTGTATTGGGAAAACAATATGATCTGCAGTAGATTTAAAAAAGATAGAAGGTATACCATCAGGTCCAGGACCCTTGTTCAAATCCAAATTTTGCAAAGCACGTAGTACATCATCGGTAGTTAAGTGTATCTGGCTTAAGCAAGAAATATTATTAGCAAAGTTAGAAGGAGGTTGCCAGTTTATAGGATCAAATGAACAGGGCTCGTACACGGATGTGAAGAAAGCTGAGAATAAATTACATATTTGGGTAGGATCATTAGAAAAAACATTTTTTAAATGCATAATAGCGGGGAGACTACTTTTACCTTTTCGGCTAGACACATACTTCCAAAAAAACTTAACATTATTCACGATGGAAGCTTCAACCGAATTTAAATACTTCTTGTAACATTTATTACACTCAGTTTTGAATCGAGTTCGAAAGACAGAAAAAGTTTTATAGTCCGATGTATTACCTTAATTTCTTCCACTTAATCCAAGCGCGTTCTTTACATTTGAAAATACTAATAAGTGGAGGGGAAAACCAAACGGGAAATCGTCTATTTTTTGTACGAGTAAGAGGGACATGTGATTTTACCATACTATATATAACATCGTAGAAGACATCGACAGCCTCCTCCGAAGAAAGATGTGTTAGTATGTTTTTCCAATCTTTTTTACTTAAGTCTTCGATTATTTCCTCATAATTAGCTTTGTAGAAATTAGGCTAAGATAAGGGGCGACATTTCATAAGCACACCTTCCGTTTCTAAGTGCGAAAACACTCATTAATTTCTCATTATGTTAATAGAATAAGTAACTTCACTAGACACGGTAGATAAAGCTATTGCTTTTAATGTAGCTTAAAACATATTTTTGAATACATTTAGGTGAAAGAAGTAGCTGGGAATTTTTGATGAATTCTAGTCCCAGGAATCTTTATTGGAAACTGGAACTTAAACACAGGGATTTTTTATAGAACATTTTCTCAAAATAAGATTTTGAAAAACAATAATTAAATTTTATAGAGACGTCGAGGAGGCCCGCTTCGCGGGGCTCCTTAATAGTTGTATAAAAATGTACAGCTACCAGCTGTTTAAAGTATTTCTGTATTCTTCAAAAAAGTAAAAACATAGTTCATCTTAAAATAATTGACAAGAATGAATTTTTGTAACGTAATGGCGCAGCATTGCAAGATTTATTAAAATTTGCAGAAAAGTACGAGTACGAAAGTACGTACAAGTACGAAAAGTTTTTCGCCGCTGTGGGAATCGAACCCATGTCTTCGGGAATCGCGGCCAGGCGCTTTAACCACTAAGCTAAACGGATTGCCAAACCGACGAAAATCTCATTTGGCTTTTATCTACATTGTTTTGTCGCATTTCAAGCAACATTGTCATCCTTTGCAGCATACAATTTCGAATATAGTTTTACAACGATAACTCGAACTCGAATCATCCATAATTGGAAAATTTTAATGTATCATCTTAAGTGCAGTGACTGCAAAAATTTAAATTTCTAAATTGCAAGATTTAAATTTTCTTTATCAAAATCGAAATGTTAGCACAAATTTTTGCTTCGGTTATGTTTTTCCATCGAGACATTTGTACACGAAAAACGCGCGTGCGGCTATTGTTAAATAAATACTGAGCGTTCGGTCAATCTATTACCGTTACATATAAACGTACCTATTACCGAACACAACAAACAAAATTGATTTACTTTTCAACCATATTTAATAGACACATTAATACATACATTTATGATGTAGATCTTTTGACCAAGACAAGGGCTGTCGTATATTGCTTATTAAACGGAGGTATCCCCCACCCCCCAGCTGCGTCAAGGCCAGGCGTACTGCACGGACAGCGAGTGCCTGGACCAATTGCCGGGGATGCCCCGCCCAGAGTCGGCCGGCAACAGCTTCCTGATGATGTTCATCATGATGGCGCTCGCCGTCGCCGTATACATGATGCGCCCGCGTCGCAACCAGATCCACGACGCAGCCAAGCCCGCTCCCAACTCCAATGTAAGTGTGACCCTCGATTCGATTTATTAGTTTTCATCTCTTTGTCACCCTATCATTGTGATAGTGGTATATTATGACGTGCAAACTTACAATCAATCAATCCCTTTAAAACATGAAATAACTTCCTGACTGTATGTATGTAGTTCATTAATTTAGGTGTACGAGTTTTTTAAACTAGCATTAGTATTATTATTGCAGTATTTACTAAACACGTTTAAAAAATAGTAAAGTCCGCTGAACTATGATAAGCCTTTATTTTTTCCTTAATTACTATAAAAAATACATTAAGGTTTAGTAAATAACATTACGCATGAACGGACGCGATGCTTGTGGGTGGAATGATGAATGAATCATATGATAGAATATGATCTGTATTTTTTTATAATTGATAACCTAGTGTGTTAAATCATCCTTGTATTACCATAAATGCGAACACTAAATATAACAAACAATGTGATTATACTGAAGAAAATTTTGTTAAAATTTAATTAATTTATTTAATTTAAGAGATCGCTGTGAAAGGTGTACGTGCCACAGACTATAACCTCCAGTATATTGTTATAAATTATGGCCTAATGCAAATATACATAGTACATAGATGTCGAGATTTTCGCGAAGGGAGTATGTCGGATGCTTAGCTCATTCGTTAGACCATTTAGGTGCGTCACCGGGAAGAAGGTTGACTCATGTAGCGTAAAATAATTATTTACAAAAATTCAAATTTAAGCAAAGAAATTCTCACTTCAGAAATGTAAACAAAACCAGACTTGGCTATTCTAGCCCCCTTTTTGTTAAAAAAAAGAGAAAATATTTAAGTTTTTACAAACTTTATTAAAATTAGAAAAGCCCTAAAGTAGACTATAGAAAAGTCTGTGGTTGTAGTAATTATAAGACTCATGGATAAATGGAAAAAAGCTTGTGTAGAAATATTTTAAATCGTTACAGTAACTCCATACTCATTAACATGATGACCGTGAACAATAAGTTAATTTGTATTACGCGTCCTTACATAAGTTACAGACAATACAATCTAACAAACAATACTGTAATAATTAACATCGATAGTTTCATGTTAACGATGTATTAGCGTTAGTTGCATTACACAACTTTCGTTAATTTTGTATTTAATAATTTATTCATTATATATAATTAATAAATTGCAGACTAAAATTTGTATTTGACGTAATTAGAACTTACCTCGAAATCAATTGACTGTTTGCAATATTGGTTGTTACCTATTTTTATCTTGAAAGTTTATTGTCTTAACAAATTTTTGTGAGAAGTTGTTTTATTCAGTTATGTTAATGATGATAATTTTTTTCGATATCTTCTCATAGCTTTGTGTACTAGTTAACTAATATACAAAATATTTTTAAAACAAAAAAGAAAGATAGAAAGACATTTAAACCATTTTATTTAAATGCATTACAAAATGCACATTGACAATATTAACAATATTATTTTATTTTTTTTTATTTATTTATTAACATAACTGGAAGAGTCTGAGAGTTTCTGTCGTATGAATATTATGCCAACAGAATGTAGAGACGGCCTCACTGAAGACGTAAGAAGTAGAACTATTTATGCTATCGTCTTTCTCGTTTATATTATAAGTGAGGTAACTGTAGTTGAACCTTTTTAAAAGTTGCTAACACCTACTGCTTTTTATTAATTACAGAGAGCCTTTTGATTGTTTGACATATCTTTAAAAAAGTAATAAACATTCATAACCAATCATCATATGTACAAGTTGTTAGGTGCAAAGTGGGTTATATAAAATATAACTCATTCATTTCAGGATCGCGACGGGGCCCCGCCAACTCCACCAAGAGTTTAATTCTTAGGAAGATAACGTTCTAGAGGTTTCATGTGGAAGAACCGGGGCTGACGCGAATTCCACAATATATATATTTATGTATAAACATGGTTCAACCCAATCAAGTTGTATGTTATGATAACTTTCGTAAGATCAGTTTAGAGATGGTAAACCAATAATAAAACTTAGTTGATTATTGTCGTAACAGCATAGTTCTTTATGAAAATGTATTATAGAATCTATCTCGTATTAAACTATAAACTATCGGTGTAATGTTGCAATCAATGCAATTACATGTATGTTAGTTGATAAACTGAACTTTCCGTTGTATGTAACTCACAATTGAAGAGATCCGATTCGCCGCAACTTGGATGAGGTGAGAACTTAAATAATTTATTTATGCCTTACAACCGATGGTATAAAAATATGTTATAACCATTCCATAATTGTTACCTTTTAGAATCACGTTTGACGCTTTCTTTCCTACCCTATTTTTTTATTTTTTGGAATCTCCACTTGGTTCTATTGCTCCTCGCATAGTGCACTTAATTTATCCGGTTTTAATTTGAATTTGGTGCTATAATTTATAAAAAGTATTTTTAACGAAATTCTTTTAAGTTATTATGCTTTGGAATATACAAGAAATGAATTGTTTTACAATACAAATACATATACTGTAACACTCGAATATTATTGTCAATTGGAAATGCAAAAAATTATTTGATTGATTCGTTTAATGTAAAATAATTACATGACGCCCAGTACATTATACTTCAAAATAGCATTACTCTTTTCTATTTAAGTTGCTTTCATGTTATTTTAAAATGACTGTCGTTTTATTTAGTCTTTTTTTTATTGTTTAATCATGAAATAGGTATACTCTATAAACATATTGATTTAGCTTTTATTTTCTTCATGTTCCTTCTTTGTTTTTTCGGGCTTTGGGTTTATAAGTATAACTTAGAATAATTTCCGCTTTAAGTTCTCCACACGAAGTGACTTTGACCTCACCAATCGAGATTGTATTAATTATGTGCAATGAAATAAATGAAGGTAACTACATGTTATAATTGTTTTATTTTATCTACAATCGTCCCCGTCAACCGCCAACTGTAAATAAATCATTGATATGTGATTCCCGTAAATTTAAATTCACTTTTTTTACTACTGCAGTCATTTATTAACTGTATAAATTGCAATTTTTTTTGTAAACAAATGACCAGATAAATTTTCTACGCTCACGCTTTTACCAACTAAGCTAATAGGTCGCTGACCTCACGGAGGAAAATCTTGACATCTTTGTTAGTTCTATTGCATTTATAGTAGCAACGCTTCGCACATCCAGTGTGCATACTTCACAGCATACAAGATTTCCAAATAACATTTAACGATGGATATTAATTTGTAACGAGAGATGTTGCCACTGCTCTAGTGCTAATTTGCACTCGAGATGGAACTTTAAATTGTAATTTTTTGTAGATAAATGAATAAAAACAAAAACGCAATAGAACGAACGTAGGTATGTATAAAGCTTTTCGCGCCGTGAGGTCTTCAGCCGCTTAGCCGGTAAAAGCGTCTGGGCGTGAAACCAGTAGACGACGCAGGTTCGAATCCCGCAGCACAGAAAGTTTTTATTCGTTTATCTACAAAAAATTTTTTTACTTAAAATTTTATCTTGAGTGCAGAGAATAGCACTATAAATAATAATTAATCTTAAAAAATAATAAAATTAAATAAATTTAACACCCCTGAACTCTTGAAACAAGAGCCAGTTTGGACTATTCCGACCTGTTTGGTCGGTTTATTTTAATGTAACCAAGAACGTGCTAAATTAGAAAATATTTAGACTTGTGTTGGCTCATGTTTAAGGATTGGCAACGCAAAAGCAGTCCTAGGCGTGATCTGGATGTCCATGAATAGCGGTAACCTATTACCATCAACTGAACGAAATATCATATCTAAATGATCCATTAAAATTACCGCACTAAACTTTGAGCAATGAACGTGAGAACACGTGGATAGGTAAGCGACATTTTGCCAATGGCCGTAAACAATATCTTACCTTATATCGCCGTGCATAAAGGGTATGTAATGAACACAAAACTACACGATGAGCCGGCATCATTTGTATTTCACAGGTTTAAAGAAGCGACCAAACTTTCGGATTGGCACATTATGAACGATAACTTCACAATGAACAGTATTGAGCCAAACTCCAAATTTTGATCGCCTTGTTGACATGTCAAGGAGGATATATTAGTTTCGTGGCGCCAACCGAATCTAATATTGTGAGCTGTAATCCTTAATTTATTACGATTGTACTAACAGTCGGTAACTGGTTCGATAAACGAATTTGACGCTAAAATACGTCTCTGCGTACAGTCCTTAGAATCGTATGTTTTTACAAGGAAGGATGAGGCGGTGAAAGTACAGTGAAAACAAAAATAGAGAACGTCGTGTTGTGATTGTTTCGAGATTTAACATGAGGATTAGCAAAGTGAAATGGACGTAAAAGATTTACTTTAAAAATATATAATAAAAGACTACATAATCAAACGTCCCAGGTAAATATTCGACACATAGATAAAGCGATGAACAACAATGGGAAAGGTGAGAAGGTGTAAAATTAAGACTTAACTTTGTGATGGTTGTGTCAAATAACATACTATAATGATGGTTAGACTCCATGAACACAAAACATGAACTTTGTTTAGATACTAATTTCATAAAGTTTCATTCAATGGCATTAATGTTTGCTTCCTAACATGATTTTATTAATAACTTCAAAGAGATATATTTCCTAAAATTAAAACTGATAAAGTTGTTCTCATATATTCTTTTATGTTTAGCTCAGTTTGTGTATCAATTCAAAATCTTTTTGTCTCAACAAAGTTTAATTGCAATGGCAGTCTATAAAAAAAGTTACGCTATCACTTACTAAATAATTTCTGTTGATATGTAAATGTGCCACGCAGCGACAATGTTTTTCATCCAACAACACTCAAAATGTATAAAAATCAATAAAATATTCTTCAATAAATTATTTTCGCTTTGTTTTCCATTATTGTTAAGATTTCCCAAGAAATGTCTAAAGTACTACGGCTGTTTAAAATTAGCCTAATTTGAAAGGATTACGGTTCACAACACGATCACACGTACCACTTTCAATGAGTTTTTTAAACAGTGTATAACAACAATACACCAGTCGATTTACAAACTAATCCTTATAAAAAATATATAGTCATAAAATTTCTTATCCATTTATACAACAGAGCGTCGAAGTGTTTCGCAAATGCCACTTAAAGGGTCCGACCGCTACAAAGCGGGCAATGTCAAAATCATGACTCCTGGATCCTGTCCACTTCACTTTTCACCTTCTTCAGTAAGCTGCATATCTTCTTGTATTTGCCCGTCGAGTTGGGCAGATTCTCGAAGTTGATCACGTCGCAGATGTCCTTTGCGAAATTCTCGTCACTGGGCAGCTTCATATACGGAGACGCGATGTTCAGCACGGGCGTGCCGTACAGCGTAGTTTTCACGTTGCCCGCCGATTTGCTTCTAGAAGCTTCTAGACTCTTTGTGGGCGGTGGGGTCTCCGAAATTGCGGTGCCCGATCTTTCCGCGGCAGGCGAGTCGACAATACTGACGTCGCTCGCCGTCGGTTCTTTGCTTCTGGAAGCTTCTAGACTCGTGGTGGGCAGTGGGGGCTCCGAAACTGGTGCGCTGAATATTTCCTCGGCCGCACTGACGTCGCTGGCCGACTGCTCTTTGCAAGCTTCTGGACTCGTGGGCAGTGGGTTCTCGAAAATCGCTGCAGTCACTTGTTCTGCGGCCGGTGACTCTGTGCTTACTTCGCTCTCCGTCTGTTCCGTTTTTTCTGGCGCCTTTTGTTGAACTTCGGCGTGATTACCTTCTGTCCGTGTTCCATCGTTTCCTAGTTGGATTTCAACGGGAGCCTTCGACGGCGTTTGCTCACCGAGAGCATCTAGCAGCTGCCTCTTCTTGTCTTCTAGATCGTCCAGCGTAGGACTGCTCCAGCCACAGCCACTCTGCGAAAATTTCCGGAAATGACCGCGAGATAGAAAATTGCAAAACGAATTCATTGCAGACAATGCATTCCTGAAGATATCATGGTATCGGTGATGAACTGATGACAGTTACAAAAGTAAATAACTAAAGAGAGAGCGATTGTGAAGGTAAGGTCGTTGAAAAAGCTCTTTAAACCCCATCTGAAATTCGCTGGTTGAAATTTGGTTGAATTTTTTTTGGTAAAAAAAATCATTTATGGTATCGGTTGCGATATTGTTGACAACATAAACCATCAAAAAATACTATGTCGGTCTGCAATTTACCATCGTACTCATTGATTGAATTAAATATCTATTTACGGCAGGTTTCAATATTCTATCTACAGATCGACTTGGTTACTAGCAACAGGTATTTCACGTTAGTCCCATAATAATTACGTCAAAATTCTATCTCCGCTAACCGAATCTCAGATAGATATTATTGAAATTGCCGTTAAAATGATAATGTCAATGAGTCCACCAAGAATCCAAGGTTTCTATCTCACCTCCGTGTACTCGTCGATGACGATCAGATCGTCCTCGGGAACAGGGATGTCAGCGACTGTTCTCACTGAGATTATCTCCAGGTCTTCACTAGTCTGGTTGTCTTCGTTTGATTTAGCTTTTGTGGGGGTGTCTTGGCGCGGTTCTTTGTCGTTTTTAATGGCCGGTGAGAGTGCTGCTGGTGGGGATGGGGCCGGTGGTGGGCTCTCAGGGGGTGGTGGTGGTGGGTTCTCGGGGGGCGGCGGCGGGGGAGGCGGCGCTTCGTCCGGCAGGGGAGGTACTGAGGGAAACTCCGCAACTTCTGTGAATAGAAAAAATAATTAACCAGCCAAAAAGGTACTTCACTATTACACATAGATTTAATTATCTTTTACACAAATACAACTGTCATTATAGGTTAACTCAAAGACATAACACTATAAAAGCAATCAAAGCAATAAATTCGATATTATAGATTAGATGATTAGTTTGACAACAATGTAATAAAATTAATATAACTACTATTTTACTACATGTAAAATAATGATTATGATGTTTTAATAGTCCATAATAATACTTGTCATGAAAAAAAAACTTTTTTTATTCATTGTTTTTATGGTCTGATACTCATCGTATAATGCTATATTATGGTAAGACAAGATCATTTCTGTAGTATGAAGACATTGATGTTTGCTTAGTCGGTGGGAAATGCCCATAATAGAACCAACTCAGCCAGGTAATTTTTTTTTTATTTGAGTTCTATGCATTTTGGGTAACAGTTTAGTTAAGTAAATTTATGTAAATGTATATAATGCATTGCCAACAAGAAAGAAAGTCTTTTAGCTCACGTTTAAATTTTATCACTAGTGCAGATCAGAGTATAATGAAAATATCATAAAATGCATTTTTTAAACTTTTCCTTTAATAAACGCACAAGGTTGATATAGGAACATTTAACATTTCAATTCATGTTAATTTGAAGTTTTCATAATCATGAAATTGACATGGCTTTTATGTTCAATACTACATACAATATGATCATGATCAGTTATTGTAACAATTAAAAGATTAATTGTTATTTTCAAATACGGTGTTCTTTTGACCTTATTTATGGTAATAATATTAAGCAAATACATTACTGATATTGTTGCAAAGTAGTTGTTTTTGTTGTTATATTCACTGCTAATATTAAATTGGACGAAGTTAAGATTTTAACCCATTTAAATAATTCTTTGTTTTCTCTTAACAATTACACATCCAATGACCAGTTTTCACATTCCTCATGAGAAATAACTGAGTAGGAAGTCAATATGAAAAGTTCCTCAAATACACATTCTAATCTTTAAAACTTTATTTGAATGCAAGACAATACATTTGCTTTTACTTAAAGGAATGAACAAACCATCTCCGCTGTCTAGTTCCATCTCAGCTTGACTGTTCTGCATTGAGTTATTTGGAGTGCCAGATGGAAAGAATGTTAATTTTTTTCGTTTGTATGCTTTCATCGCATTAGGCGCCAACGTCTGAAGCATCAATAGTTTGCTGTCGTGCTCGGACATTGGTGGCATACCAAGCATTTCACCCTCCTGTAATTATTAATGAAACATTTAAAGATATGATTATTGTTCACTGCAACTTTATAAGTTTGTATGATACACTCTAGTTATATTAAAATCTGGTACAATTGAATTTAAAATAACATTCCATTATTATTATTATTCACATCAATTTTCATGATTTCATGTAAAAGGGTAAAGATATGGAGATAGTAAATTTCCAGTAATTTGGAAATTAAATGTTTTTTTTTTTTAGTTAAACAAAAACATTAGAAAGTAATGACTTATTAACTATATTTAGGGGCATTAGTAAAGGACCCCAGTCTCTTGGGCTTATAATCTAAATCAAGTTTCTAAAATTTATAAGTCATTGCTTCACATTCATGCAGTCATTTATAAAGATGGAAAACTGCTTTTTTATTAAGATTTTTAAATTTAACACTTGTAATCTCTATATTTACATAACTTTAGATGGTTGTTTGGTGTTATAAGACCCAAGAGCTTGCATTGTATTTAAAATTAAACTGTAAGGTCCTCATGTACATAGTTTGAGTACCTTACAGTTACACAGCATATGTGAAGCTACAAACCTCTTTATATCTTGAGCTGGCTGGTACATTAAAACCAGGGAAATCAAGAATCTTCTTGATATCAAACTTATCTTTAGAGCCTGCTTCACAAATCTGACCTTCTTCTTCATCAGCATCCAAAATGGCATTACCCTGAGCAGTAATTCAAACTATCAGAATATTATAAAAAATTTCAAATGGCTGAGAATTGTTTTTTTTTTACTTAAAAAAAAATAGTAATTTCAATGTCCATGTAAGCATAATGCGAATCATCAATCAATAAGAACATCCTTACATATAAAACTTTAATGTAAAGTTCATATGTAAAGGTCACAAAGCATATGAATGGATTGAATGAATTTAAAAGAGACAAAACATACTGTTATTATGCGGCGCTGTGGCAACAAATGAAAAAGTCTCTGAATGTATTAATCAGTCAGTTGTAGTTGTATAAGATGTTACAAATTTTGTTTCTTTTTTACTTAATTAGTTTGTTTTAAAAATATTTTTTTTAATTATGGATTTTTTTAACGTTAATATATTTTTATGATTATTGGCAAGTAGCGTTAAACGTGTGTTCATTTATTGTCGCGGTGGTAAAGACACACTGTATAACAATAAAATACATACAGCTGAATCAAACATAGTTATTCCAGAATGTGAAATTCTAGCCTCCTCCAACCAGCCTGGAGGATAGCCAAGCAACCGCATGCGGTATATATGAAGGGGGAGCTCATATCTCTTTAAACCCAATGCATGTCGCAGCTGACTAGATATTCTTCCAGGAATAAGATGACCATACTTCTGTTCATCTTCCACATGGTAACGGCTATTAAAAAAAAATTTTATATTGCATCATATTATATATATAGAATGTTAAATTTATTGGTAAGATTTTTTTTTATCTGCATTCCCTAACAAGCTTTTAAAATATTAACTAAACATGGTAACTATTATACTATACTAATTATATATTTACTGTATGTTATTAAGTAGGCTTCATCAAATTTTGAAAAAGATCAATATTTATTAGAGGCTGGCAAAGACTTAAAGATACTTTATTTCGAAGGTTAACAATATTTATGTGAAATTGCTTGTAAAAATTTTTTTTAGTATTCATGTATTTATTTTGAATGTTGTACTGTTTATTGCTTGTCAAAATAAAGTTTATGGCTATGTGTAAATTATTTTGGAAAAGCAATGGAAGTTCAATGTAACAGATTTTAATTGAAAAAAATAATATTCTTTAACTGAGTACATTGTAAGAAGGATGCGAGAAATCAAAAGTGTTCATATACCCAAGTTTATTTGGAATGTTTTTCCTTTTACCAGCAATCCTGGTATTGTTTCTAGGTAACTGGCAGTCTCTTAAATAATGGTCTCCATCGCAGTTGAAGCATATTGGTCCTCTGCGGAGAACTGACGTAGGCTCTGGTGTTTCCGCATCGTCATTAGAAATAACTGTTGAACCCTGAAAATGTTAACAAAACATTTTTAACATTTATTTCAAGAGGAAATTAAGTTATTATTTGATAATATAATTTCATACACAATAAACGTAATGAAATATTTCATTAGTCTAAAAGGTTGAAATCATATCAAATGAAATAACCACTATACAAGAAAAAGAAATCAAGTCAATTCATTAATTTATTGAAATTAAACATACACTTCATCTATACTCATTTTTTTTAAATTACAACCATTTCATAATGAGGTTCCCCTTATGGAGAAGAAAGAGGCGAAAGAAACTCCGTAGGTAACGCTTTTTAGGCATTTTTTTCCTCAAGGCATAAAAAATTTATAAATTTATGCATTTTTTTTAGAAATAGCTTGGGAAGGATCAACTCAAGGGTTGTTATCATTAATGTTTTAAATATTATTAAAATTACTCATTTTATACTTTTTGTTCAGTAAATTTCTAAAACATGTTAATAGGCAGGCTTTGCGAATGTATTGGGAGAAGCGCATAAACAATCGCATGAATGAGTAACTGGCACTACGAGCTTGGATATGTTTTATTCAATATTTATTTTATGTACATTTGCAAATGATTTTTGCTATTTAATCATAGCTATGGTTGTATTTCTTTTCAGACAAAAAAGTATATTAAAAAATTACTTTAGTTCCAAAGAAAGATGACAGCAAACCAATGTAAAAAAGTTTCATGGTTTTACAGAGTAAGATGATTCGTAAAAAAACCATACATTTGTTACATATAATTGACATACTGCTTTTTTGTTATTTAAAAAAATATATCAAAATGAATAAAAAAAGGATATTTCATACTTACTTGAGTGTATTTTGGTATGACAGGTGTTGCTTCATCGTTGGGATCAGTATCAACGAAAAACAAATTGTCTGTGTTATCATTTTCCTGGGTCTTTTGCTTGATACTGTTTAAATCCTCGGGCCAAATTTCAAGATCTAATTCAGCATCATTTTCTAATATATCTGTTTCTTTGCTGTCTAGTTTCATTAAATCAACAATAAAATGTTTGATTTTATTTTTGTACTTATTTGCAAGTTCATAATTTCTGAAACGAATGGTTATAAGCGGTTTCTTGTTTTCGCAACCAATTTCAACTACTTCATTCATTGATGCAGGGGAATCAACTGCAATATCCTCATTTAATATAACAGTTTCAGATCCCTTTTTTGAATCTTTGTTAATTGGCTGTTCAATAATTTCTAGTTCATCATTATTTGTACTTTGGTCGTTTTCAATCAAAATAATATGAGGCGAATTTTTCCCTCCATTCTGACTGTTACTTTCGGATTCAGTATTACAAGAATCATCCATAGAACTATTAAGTGCTATTACATCGTCAACATAAGAATTAATAATAGATTGGCTTTCACTCGATTTCTGGGCTGTTTGTTTTCCGAAACGCTTTTTTTTGTTCCCTTTAGCTTCATCTTCACTACTTATTTCGATATCATCATTATCTAGTTCATAAATGATATCGTTCACTCCACTTTTTCTTTTGGCCATGGCTATTAAATTTAACCATTAAACTTAGTTAAAACAATTTTTTTTTTACATTAATAGTGTAAATATAAAACTTACAACATTAAAACGAAACTAGGGATATACGTGAACACGATATCGTATTATGACAGATGACAACAGTAAGTTGCTAGTTGCTATAAATATTGTCGTGATAGCAAAGAGAATGTAATCACTACGTTTATATCACGTTGGTGATAGCTCAGTGTTCACTGTTCAGGCCTCTGTACAAAGCAGGCCTCTAGCCCTCTACCCAGTAGTTGTTGTACCCCTTGTTAGCCAAATCGTGTTTATAGACTTTGTCAAATACATTTTTTTGTTTACTTTTTTGTACTTTGCTGATAGTCTAGTTGCATCATTGTGCAATGTGCATTGTAATGTCGTCGTACATCAGTATTCAGTTACATTCCTCTCCTGAGGTCCGCGGGTCGACCGACAACCGACAATTGACCTAGACTTCCTTCAACTTGATAAAGCTGATAAAGCCACCTGGCTCCGCAAATTACAAAAAAAAACGAAATACAAAGTCTATATTGCCATATATAACTTCGTACATGATCACGTTTTATCTGTTCTTAAATAGACAATGGCAACATTGAAAAGAAAACGATTATCGTCTGTATTCTGTATTTGACATTTGTATACCTACCCTAAATTTTGTTAGGTTAACTTTTATGTTTCATAAAAATTATGTCGCTCTTTCAGTTAATGCACAAAAATACGAGAAATGTTATTATACATTATAATAATTTGCAGATCCTTGCTATTTCTAGTCGAAAATTGAGTATAGTTCCATCTCTTTACGGTATATCTTAAAACAAACTAGTTTTATTTATATAATAATTAAAATTTCTTTGATAAACAATTAATTTTCTAACAGATGGAGAACAAGATCCGGGACCTAAATTCTTTTGTTCGGGTGTTCAAGCTCTTCTAAAACGTTTGACGAGACCAGATTTTGCAAAAGTTTTTCGGAAAAGGACAAACAGTAATCTTCCTTTCCTCAAAACTCCAAAGTATAAATTCTTAACAAATGAAGAATTAGATGCCGAGATATCCAAAGCAAATAAAACTGCTGCTTGGTTGCTCCAAATGCCACCAGTTGTAAAGGTATTTACTAAATTGTATAAGTTTTTTTTTTATTTTATAATGTATAAATTTCCATTGCCCTACTCAGTATCTTAAAAGTGTATTCTTTATGAAAGAAAGTTGCGGCTCACCTGATATTGAACTATTCCTACCCAATGGACATCAGTCACAACCAAAATTCTTAAGTACAAATACTTTGTTTTGCCTTCTATAAGACTGTGGTACTTTCTGGACGAAACTGCTTATTCATGGTAGAGTAGAAACTTACGTGACCCTACCAGTAAGTAAGACCACCATGTCACAGGTCTAAGGACAGTGCTTACCTTAGATATGTATCTACATTCAACTTTCTTCATTATAGACATTGTATTCATTACTGATTTCAATTCTGGAGCAAATTTAGAATAAAAAAAATCAAAAAGAATTATGTACAAAAACTTTACCACTTTTAATTTGCTTATAACATTTCAGGTGCATGATCCAATTAATGAGGTATTTTCAAAGGACCCAGCTTTAGTTGGATATGACTCCTCAAAATATGTATTTACAGATATAACTTTTGGTGTTCCTAATGAACAAAGGCTTATAGTGGAAAGGTTTGTATTTGTGTGTAAATTAAATAGGCAATTTTAAAGTTGTCTTTTGTTTAGTTCAATAGTTATAAAATCTTGTCAAATGTATACAACAGAAACAATGTTTTCAGGGATCCCGATGGTACACTGCAAAGCTGCGATCATGACACAAGAAAACGGCTCAACCAGGTTAGTATAAATGCCAATTATTAACTAATGCCAAATAAGTTCTCAGTTTTTAATAAACAATTTTCCTGCATGTAAGTCTTTTGGTACTTTATAAACTACACCAAGGTATCCTGAAACATGCAAGCAAACTGTTTCAGATATACTTTCCCATTCAGGGTCGCAAAGTAAAGGAACCAACAATGTTTTCTGATGAAGAAAAATTCCATGGATTGCTTGAAGAGGAGAAATATGAGTTTATATTAGATCGAGCTTGTATACAATATGAACCAAATGAACCTACTTATCAGAAAGTAACAAGTATCACATATCAACATGTAGATTTGAAAACCAATTTTAACATGCTAAGGTAAGATTGTTATATATTTTTATGAATGTTTTAATTACTTGTAGGATAGAAAAGTTTATGAAATAAAGTGATGAGTACTCATCATATGTAGTATGTAGAGGCACTCAGCGGCTTCTGCTGTTGTACAAATGGGCAGGCTTGCCCAGGGAAGTACCAGTATTATATTTTCGCATTTCGTCTGGTGAGTGAGGTAACTGGAGCACACTTGTCAAAAGATTGTGATAACCTCAGCTGTTGCAGATGACTAAACATTAGGTGAACAAACTGCTCGCTAAACAAATTTTTCCTATAAAAAAACTTGAGTCCATTCCAACCAGCCCCTTTGGTTAGAGAGAGATACTTTATCTCTTGCCCCTCCAAACTATATAGACACAATATGTGTCATGTATCAACATGATAATTGTATTGGCAAGTTTTTACGACCTGCCTGCCTTATGTCAACCCTTATTGGGAATTATCGCTTAATCTAGGACAATAATATTCACCAGATCAGGTACAATAATATCTGGTTCACACAAATATTTGTCCTGTATGGGGATAAAACACAAATCTGACAGTGGTGAAACCAATAGTTCAACTGCTACACCATGTTATCTCTTATTGATTTTGCTATAGCTTATAAATTTATAAGTGCACTACACAAGCACTGCATAATTTTGTGTTTCAATTTCTTTTAATTGTACTGCTTATGTTCTTGTTTTTTGTAGATCAACAAGACATTTTGGCCCCATGGCATTCTACCTGACATGGCATCAATCAATGGACAATCTCATGCTTGAATTATTACAAACAGGCTTTGTCAGAGAAACAGTGCTTTTAATGGGTTTAAGGCAAGCCATCCATGAAGATATTGCCTTTGCAGATGAACTTAATGAACTTGTGCCACAAGTAAGTATTTTATGCTATTATTTCAACATTTATATAAATGATCTCCAACATTATTGTGAGTTCAATATAAAATTTATGAAAATTTGAAATGAAAGTATATTCTAAAGAAGCAAATGAGCACAAATTTTCCTATTTTGGTTATCATAATGACAGTCTTCTGAGCCTATATATCATAATGACAGTCGGCCGGCTGAGCCGAGAGCTCCACGTCGCCAAAGCTCTCCGCTGTTCCTGCTGTTTCATGGATTCAAACGCCTCTTCTGGCTCACTGCCACCACTCTGACGAAGGGCGCGTTTTCGGTGGTACACCCGCGCATCCATTTCCGCCAGTATATCCAGGGGTGAGAAGCGAGCCAAGACTGTTGCCGCCTGGAATGATGTAGTTCTATACCCATGTACGACCCGTATAGCTATCCGTCTCTAAACGCTATAGACTTTTGATCTACAGCGTCGAATAGAAAGCCTTTTTGCCCAAACAGGCGCTCCGTACGAAGCTACGGATCGTACAACTCCTGCATAGAGGCGGCGAACTTCCTCCCTCGGTCCCCCAAGATTAGGTAGTAGTCTGCATTGCACCCGCTACCCTCCCAATCCGGGGGACTAGGCCCTTGAAATGTTCTTCAAAGCCCCAGCGGCTATCCAAGTGTAGGCCCAGGTACTTCATATATTTACTCGAGTCGGGTGGTTCCCTGCCTCTTGGCATTGTATGGAACCATACAGCCTCGATCTTATGTGGCGCTATCTGCAGACCCAACTCGCGAATCTTGGCGACGACAATTCCTGCCCCAAGCTCGGCTAGGCCTTTGCCCCTCTCGAAGGTGTGTGGCAGGACCCTGGAGTACAAAGCGTTTCTGACCGCGAGATCGTATGGAACGAAAGAGAGCTCGACGGGAGCTTTCGGAAAACTTCGTAAGATATAAGATAAGGATGCAAAGATGAACAATTATCGTACATTTATTCTAAAGAATAGCACCATCGACATCTGTAGAGATTGCCGCCAACATGGGGACTCGTCCCTGGCACACTGTTTTCGGTCGTTCTATGATTTTGAGCATATGCATAGACACAAAGAGACTCTGAAATGCAATCTCGTAGATCGACGACTGCCCTACTATAAGTACTATTACTGACACCGATTTATTCAGAATAAATCTAAAGATGTAGTATTTAATAAATTGTTTTTTATTTATATGTATATGAATATTTTTACAAACCCAATTAGACATGTACAAAATTATATACCTGTATAATAATACCTTTATTCATAACATTACAGTCTAAAATCATTATTAATTTTGGTTAATTCCTTTTTTTTTATAATTATAGATACTACCTACTCCAGTACAACTCAAAAAGTCAGAAAATTTATCAGAGGAAGACATTAACCTTGACAATAAATGCATAGATTGTGTCGTCAAATATATCACGAAAAATTCAGCTATGAAGAGTCAGCAAGAACTAGCTTTGCAGGGCTTCAGAGAAGAATATCAGCAATTGGTAGAACTAAGTCGTGGATTAAGAAAAGCGCATGGAAACGTTTAATTTATAAAGTAGTCTATTAAATATTTAGTTACTTAATTAATTTTCATTGGTTTTCATTTCATTCTACACATTATTAAATGAACCTTTTTACGTCAAGACGGACCGTGACCATTAATTCTGCAATGTAAGATCGAGACTTTATTATGTATCTAAATCTTAAATTGATACGCATACTCCATGGTTCGTTTATATATTAAAAAAAAACCTATATAATTTATATATATCCTATAATAAGCACTAAATCTACGGCTTTATTAGTATTTAAAATCTAATTTTATTGTAATTATTGTATTACAATAAAATTTTTTGACGGAGGACTACCCTTACACCTGTGACTAAAAAGGTTCAAAACATCGGGAAAAGTTGCATTTGTGTTACTGCAAAAGCAGTCCTTCGCAGTGGTGCATCCACTAAAGAATGACTTGAGAACAACAAATTATAATTTCCGTAATAGTACTAATCTAGATTGTTTCTAATTATCTACTTAATTAGAATGCACCTGTATAAAAAAGAGAAAGAATTGTAATATTGATTATTCATAAATTCTTATTACTTTCCTCTCTGTTATCTTCTAATGATAATTAATTCCTAACTCTGCAGTTAGACTGTCCTTAGGTACTAGAAAAATATAATTAAGTGTCCCATCATGTCACAGGAATGTCAATGTCAATATCAGTATTGCCTCGGTCATACCTATAATTTTTATAATTTTTTGTTTAGTAATTTTTACAACTATGCCGTTTTATCGAAAACCAAGACTTTTTACTCCTTTATCAATTGTATCTGAGAAGAAGGCTGTTAAAAATAATCTACGGCATGCAATATTCACACCTAGATTTGATAAATACGTGGGCGAGTGGAGGAGTGATTTGAAACATGGTGAAATAAGGACATTATTTATATTCTAAGCTGCCATGTCCATGCTCAGTAATTTTATATTATAAATACAAATTACAGGCAAAGGCTCTCTTTTAACAAACAGCGGAAGATTATACGAGGGAGAGTGGTACAATGGTAAAAAGTATGTAAAAAATTTCATTTCTCTCATTTAATTAATATTATGAAATAATCTAATTTAATTAAACATTAAGAAAAACAATTATGTTCAAGCTTATTACAATCACTAGGGATCACATATTATCGTATCGTATCTTTTGGGTTCACGCTAATTACTGAAAACGTTAATGGTTTTTAACTCGGCTGAACTTGTGTTAGCATTAGAATGATTCGATGGCCGTTTGCCAAATTAACGCTTTCAGGAAAAAATGTGCTTTCAACCAATTTTTTTAACGATCACATTAATTCCTGTTGAAAATGTAATACATATTTTAGTATCAGAATTTTCAGCAATTGTCTAAAAATAAATACATAAACCTATGGTATCCATCATCTTAGACATGGTTTCGGAACAATCAGCTATCGGCTTCCAAATGGTACTTTTTGTCTGGAATACCGCGGCGATTGGGTGGCGGGTAAGCCGGATGGCGTTGGCTGGCGCTACTACAAAAATGGTGAAGTTTACTTCGGATTTTGGAAATGTGCTCGACGCCATGGGTACGGGAAGATGTGGTACGCTGATGGCACGTTGTACGTCGGATATTGGGACATGGACAAGAGAGACGGTTTAGGCATGTTTGTACAAGGTAAAAGTGGTTTAGTAATATGCTGAATCGAGTACAGACACCTTATAGGTACATACATGCTTGGAAGAGATGTCGTGTAACTATTTTCAGTAAACAGAAATCGTTACGAAGGGCATTGGTACGGTGATAAAAAGAACGGTTTAGGTCGATTCTACCACATGAATACTGGTCAGCTGCAAGAAGGCGTTTGGGAGAACGACGTCTGCGTAAAGTCTAAGATGTTGGATATCGAAGTGCGACAGTTCTGCAACTATCCCACACAGTATCCCATTCGTGCGGTACGTCTACAATAGAATCAATACAAGTATATTTTATTTCAAACGCATGTCAAAAAAGGCGGTTAACCTAATGTTGATTGGGGACCACCGCCCGTGGACACTCATAAAACTCAGTTGAGTTAGATGTGTTACCAACGTGTGTCGGTCTGGTACTTCGCTCATCAGATGAATTGCAAAAATACAAACACATACTTCACATCGACCTTTTGTAAGGCCTGTACTTCCTCTGACATTTTTTTTTATGTGAAAAGTTGTCAATCGAGCAGACGGTTCACCTGATGTAAAGTGAATAGCGCCGCCCATGAACATCTACTACACCAGAGATTAAGATTCTCAAAAATTTTCAGCGTTGCGCCTCAATATGAAGGGTGCGGAGACGAGCACTAACAATTAAATTAATCATAAAATTCGAAATTAAAGGTGACATCTTTTGTTCAATGTTATTCCGAAAGTGTCCACAAGCACTCTGTAAAGTATGTACACTAGATGGCTCCAAGTACTGCAGTAATGTTATATATCAGATTTAGAATTGTAGCTAAACTAACAAAAGTAAAAATTAACTTATCACACAAAAAAAAATATTACTTTAGTTAGACCGCGATTAATATGCGGTCACTGACCGCGCATTCTTTATCATCATGAAATCCATAAGATCTTTATTTTTACACCTTAAAATATTCTTCAATCTACCCTAGGCTAGAGAGCAGTGATAGCTCGTGTCCGGGCGCTCGCCTTTAATTCAATATACTCTAGTTCAAATCCCGGTTCCTGCACCAATGAAGTTTTTAACTTAGTGCTGTCTTATCACGTGCTCCGCGGTGAAGGAACCATCGCGAGGAAACCTGCATATTTTCGAAATAATAACACAAGAAAATATATATCGAAGATATGTGAAGTCCGCCAATCCGCAGAGGGGCCGAGTGGTGGACGATGCCCTGATACCCTCTGTATAGAGGAGGCCTTTGCCCAGCAGTGGGACATGTATAGGCTGTTAAGTTTTTTAATATTACCCTAGGCTTACCCTCATTGCTCGCACCGTCACGTCTATTTACACATTTACGGCAGTAGGCCCCACACTTTTACCTTATTGTAATGGATAATGTTAACATTACAACTAAATGTATATATATATATATATATATATATATATATATATATATATATATTTATATATACACATTTAGTTTTCGTAAAATACACATTTTAAAATTAAACGACTGTCGCAGCACCTACTGCGTTTCACTGATGTGAAAATTATTGTAATTGTGAATGATTTTGGTATTCACTCGGTGTTCTTTTTATTAATTTACTAGGCGTATGTAAGTTTTACACTGAGAGAGATATAGTATTTAATGAGCTGTTAATTACAATAGTTACAATCAGTATAACAGGTTTACTAAGTGAAGAACGTACAATTGCCATTAGTAGGTTTAACGTACACTGAGGGATAGATACCTAAAATGCCAAAAATTGTACGACTAGGACTTACAATTTTTGTAAATATATAAAAGGATAGTTAGAACGATAATCACAGGTACATAACACTGAGGGGTGACGGGATTTTAGTTGTGACCACTATCACTTGCCTATCCTCTGCTTAACTAAGACAACACGATCCCTGGACAAGTATTACGCTGATCCTAACACCCCCGAAATATATCGCGACCACTTCAAGTCATTATTTGTGTGTTATTTTGCCAAGAATTTACGACCTGCATCTATCGCGTAAACATCATTGATTAATTACACCTTTCTGAAATACGCTTCTATATCGCTTATCGTCTAGTCAATGTATGCACGCTGCTTAGCTATTTTACCTTGAGTTAAGATTGTCATTTTCGTTTCCAGGAAACCCTTTGCGATTCGCGGAAACTTCTAGAAGAAAGTGAACTTTGGCTTAATCAGACATTGGGTGACATTGACAAACAATTACAAAACTGCATTCGTTGAATTTATACGAAAAAGGTTTATTACGTCCATATCAGATCCTCCAATACATATAATGTCTTAAATTAGCTTCCCATTCAGGAGATACTTGCTTATAACAAAAAATCTTATTGTAATAAGAAGGTATTGACAGATTTCTTAACAATGTCATTATTATATCACAGAGCAATTAATTTTTCATGAATTAAGTAACTCTTACATTGTATTGTCTACTTTCATTATAACTATATAAATACACACTTTTTTCAAGTCAAAATTCGTTTTTATAAAATTACTACTTTTACTTTAAAATCTCAAATGTACATGAGGACTTTCATTTTATATTTAGTAGTTGGCCTTACAACTTCGCTATGGGACAACTAGTTATAAAGAGAATTCTAAAATGTTGTCGCACAGCGCCTTGGCGAAATGTTTATACAATAGCAACATATCATATTTTCCATTATTTCTCTGCTCTTGCTCTTGAACATCGAGACAAACTCGCATCAATCAGTAGCAGGGGATTAATTAATCTAAACTCAACGTGAAAAATACACGCTATGAGAATCAATACAATTGGATCTTTACAATTCAAGAAACAATAAGCTGCTATTACTTTTTTAGTTACTTTTTTACTATTTAAAGAGTTCAATTTACTCATTTTAAGTTAAAATGAAACATTTAAAATAAAATTAACAAGTAGGTAATTGTGTTTGCTCACACACGTAAACCAGAGTTTATATAAAACAAATATTTTAAATTAAGAACGGATAACTTCTGTAGTCAAAATAGGATTGTTAATCATAATTTAGATTCTATTGAAAAGGTATTTTATCATGGAAGATAAAAAATTATGATTCGTAACCTAATAAGATATTTGTGCAGACCCCAACCAAAATCAACCTATTATTAAAATTGCTCGCCCCTTGCTAAAACCGTTAAATATTTGTTACATGCAAACTTCTTTGTTACATATACATTTTGTACATAAACGAGGTCATGTTTCAACAAGGCTGTAACAGATAACACAGTGCTACTGCGTTTACACGCGTTTCACCAATTCTGAATGTCCATATTGACATTAGGAAAAATTAAGAAATAAAACATGATATTATCTCAAAACTGTATTCTTTCGATTTATTCGATCTATGGATGCCGATCGGCATATTATCAGTTAACGACTGCTTGCAATTATTCCTACGTCCTACTTACGTCAAAATTCTATGTACAGTAAACGGCCATACGTCGTTTAAATTGTTGAAGGGTTGAAGCATTTGTTTTTTTAAAAACTAAATTGTAATTATCGAAATTCTGTCACTGTTAAAATACGAAGCCACTAACCACATGAGCTTACGAAACGTGTTTACTCTACATACATAATATATATAGTTTTGAATCGTTATATTTTGAGGGAAACTCAATGAATTCAGAAACTTTCAATTCGGGGTTTGTTAAATACGTAAGAATAGTAAAAATAATAATGAAATAATAAAATCTATACAGCAATATTTTAAAGAGTGCACTATTAGAGATTCATTTATATAAGACCTTGAATTATTCCTTCGGTATTAATTATTAAATTGTAAAAAAGATTTACTTATCAATAAAAAATTAACTATCCAATTCTGTATATAAGTAGCATATAGTATAAAAAAAACTAGTTTATAATTTATCATGAGCCGATATAATACGCGCTTTGTAAGTACTCGTTTTAAGTACCGACACTATCTCTAAAGTACTAAAACGACCCGATTATCGTTTCATTGTTTCAGCGAGAACGCTTTGCACAATCAACGGAACAGTGATTATGTATAGCTAAAAACACCACATTGAGCGTAACTAACTTTAGTTAGGGCAATCCGATATAGATCGCGCCGAATAACTAATCACACAACTCTACTCTGGTCGAGCAACGTCATGTTGTTCATTCGGCCGTCGTGGTCGCCCATCTCGATCTGTTCCTTGAGCAGTTCCAGCTCCTTGATGCCGGTGACGGTCACCTCGTACTTGTGCGTCGCAAGCGACATGTAGAAGTGTATTGCGAACGCTAGGAACACTATCATGACCGGGATTAGCACCACGCAAGCGGACCAGGCGGCGGTCTCGCTCAGATCGTAGAACTTCACCCAGCACAGTATGGCTATCTCGACGAGGAACAGAATTAGGCCCAGTAGGGTTGAGAACGCCCAAGCGACCTCTATGTACCAGTGCAGCCGTTCGTGCGGCGACTCGTGGACCAGCGATATGCTGTGGAGGTTGCCTATCGCCTCGATGTTCGGCAGAATGCACGTGCTGATCATCAGCGCTAGCATGTGCACCGCCACGAGCAAGGTGGTGCAAACGGTGAACGCGACAAGCATTGCGGGCGGCACTCTCGTGTCGCTGGGCGGATTTAACTGCACCTCAACCATTGCTACCTGTTGACAAATGTTGTCCACCTGTAGTGTTATTGTCATAGAATCGATTTGGTCTGGTTATGACAATCATAGACAATCGTAGATCGTCTATGATTGTCACAACTACACCCGGACTAGTAGAGTCGAATAAAATTAAACATGAAAAAATTATTTTTACTACAAAATATTTTTGCGCGTTATCTCAATATACCTCGATATTTATATTTCACCTGCTTTCTAAAACTTCCGTGACGATTTAAAAAAAATATTTTTAATGTTTAAAAAAATGTTGGCTCTGTTTGTTTTGGTTTCGAAACTAAGAAGTCCTAAGAATAATAAGCTAATGGAGCAGTAATTTGAAAACAATAACGAAGTTGAGACATGAATTCAACACACGTGTGAAAGCGAGAATTATTCTCATAAAATACAAAGTATCTGGTGTAATAGGCTTTCTGACCAATACCGCGAGTCTCTTCCATTTCAGGATATTTTCAGGAAAAAATTTTTACACAACATTCTCTAGTTCCCAAACTAAGCAATGCTAGTACTATGGATACTAGATAACTGATAAAAATATTTTTCTTTTGTAAATAAATACGTATTATAAACATATAAATACCCAGACACTGGAAAACACTATGTTTATCACACAATGTTTTCCCAGTAGTGGGGATCGAACCCACACCCTGGCACAAGAGGCAGGGTCACTACTTATTATGCCAATAGGGTTGGGTCGGATTACTTCACTAATGCGACTTAAAAGATAAGTTGACAGTAATACCTCATGATGACATTCAACACTATAGTATCCCATAGTATCCCAGAAAAACTTACGCCTAGCAGCGAACAAAATTTCCATCGCTTTCGGTTCGACATATTTTTTCCCATTGCTTGGATCGTCGTTTTGTTTCCAATGAGCGAATTTACAAATCTGTTAAAGTCGTATTAAAACAGCGATTCCGCAGTCTCAAAAATCAAACCAAACAGTTGCAACAACTACTAATCTTCTGGATACTCAATTTGCGGTATTCAAATATTTTCCCCCGAGGGCCTTCCTACGTCTTCCGGTTCGTGCTCGCCACTGGAGAACTTGTCATCGGTCATCAGTTCTGCGAGGGAGGCCTATGTTAAACAGTGGACGTCTTGTGAATGATATGACTTGTATAGTACTTTTCCGTATGCATATTCAGTGTGTAACATTCCCACAATGATAAATGAAGAAGCATATTCCCCTCAGATTAAAAAAAAAAGTACTTGACCGTTCTTCAACCGTCTTTATTTTATTAAAAAAAGCGCTTCTTTAATTAAGAAACTGCATTTATGCAGCCGCAACTAAATTTTGCACCGTTGCAAGCACATTTTCATTCAAAGTTCCTTCGATGTTCATACTAAACTTCTAAAATTGGTTATAAATTCGAAATGTTTTTTTCCAATTTAATACAGTCCCATCTATCAAACAAGTTTATAGGGTAATTTTTAAGATTATTTAATTATTAAACATTAAGCGCACAAGAAAACATTAATTAAAAATACAATATAAGAAAAAATATATAGTCAGCGTGCAAATTGGCCACTTATGATAAAATAATTTCGATGTCTATCTATTTCGTCCTCCATTTTCTCATCAATACGAAAAGGTTGTAGGGTTATTGACATTAAGAGTATTAGTGACATATTGCTGAAATCTCTTAGTAAGTATATCAAGTAAATTGTTTTTTTATTTGTGATGGCACTGACATACGCATTCTCTAGGTCCCAAATGATTAAAAACTGGACCGGTTTACATTATCAGCGTTTGCGTAAATATATTATTGGTTACTTATTTCGAAGTGCCTCCTTAAAGAATATTCTCTCAACAATACTTTCATTTTCGTCAACTGCTCATTATGATCAGTCTCAATGATCCACCCTGTACAGATTATCTTTACTTTTAATTCGAATATTTTTTGTTTCTTTAATGCAGCATTAAAATAACATTGTTCTATAAAATATCGTTATAATGCTAGAGACGTTGTGTATTGTTTGACAGTCCCATTATTTAACTTCGCTAATCTATTGGCGAAGCAAATTACAATGTTGATATGTTAGTACGCCCGGTCTTACATCAATATAGTGATGTCATAGTTATTGTTATGAAATTCGTAAGTTTATTTTAAATGTTATAACTGTATTAAAGAAATCGATAATTTTAGTAAAATTGTAATGAGTACCTACTTCTCATTTTTCTATCTATTTCTTTTAATTTTGAGTGTAGAACTATGGAAACTTAAACTTATAGGTATATTATGCAGTATTCATCGATCTCATAGGGTAATATCTGCGTAATAATTTACACATTCCGTTGCCAACCCTAGATGAAACTTATATAATCACAGCTGCCGAGCGAGTTACCATTTTAAGAATTAAAAATGGCAAGAAAGGACGTTTCAACTGTCGCTTCCGATTTGTCAAGGTAGCGTTGTGAGATTACGTCCGCTATGTTCTTTTGTTCTCAATACTACAATTAAACGAGTCTAGCCTCGATCAGTGGGACTACAATGCTTACATTCCAAACTGCGGATAATTTATAATAATAAAATCTTGATTTGTAGTTATACATAATTATTTGTATTATAGAATACAGATATCCATGGCCAATTAAATATATGAAGGGTTTAAGAAAACTTGGCGCGAATTCGAACTCCCGACCTTAGATTTCCCGATTCTCCCGTATTGATGAAATATAAATAAGAAAAAAAAACTTTAAATACGAATAGTGTACCTGGACTCGTATTAATAGCTAAGGGAATATAAAACAACCTATTTTAGTGGATCTATAATATGAGAATAAAGACTTTACTTACTAAGAGTAACACAAAGCCTCAACATTGTATTGTAAAGTCGTGACGGGAAAACTGTAAAAGATAAACGATAAATATGTACCATTGCGAATCCTGACAGCAGAGCGGACGTTTTACTGGAGGCTTTGAGCTTCGCCCGGCTGAGTTGCAGCTTCCTCCAAGACAAATATGCCGGTGTATGAAGAGCATCGTCAGTTTGGATTGGTGTTTCACCAGACATCACGCACTTGTGCTGTTGATATTGTAATCATGTGAAAATGAGTAGCTATTCGCTTCACAAATTTTCTTGAAACATAACAACATTAAACACTAAATATACATTTAACTAAATTACTCTTATGTATATTATCGCTTTTAATTTAAAATAGACTCTACTTTCGAATTTCAAATACAGCATTCACGGTTACAAGACAGACTGATGTGTGACATACATTTATATAAGGACTATCATTTGTATACAATACATATAGAATTTAAATTGAAATAAGATGTGATGAAACTACTTTTATTTAACAACATGTAGGGTTTGTGACCCAAAACAAAAGAAATTATTAAATACATTAAATTCATATTTGTAACACAGACTTGCATTACAAATATTTATAAAATTCTTCAGTGTACTTGAAAGAATTATAAGTTAAGGATATTTTATCATGAATGATATTCTAAAGCATAAAAGAATTAATAAAAATAAAGCTTGTGCCATGATAAGCATAATAATTTAAATGAATTTATAAAATATTCTTACGTTATTATAATCCCGTGAAGTTAAACAATCGATTTGGAGCATGTTTAATAAGATTGTTAATTTTATGGTACCATTGACAAAATGAGAAATTCAATGAAGTAGGTATATAGATAACAAAGTGCAGTGAACCTTAGAGAAAAAAATGTCCACAAATATGTCATAAAATTTATGTAAAATTACATTAATGCAATTCAAGAAAATGTATCCATAACAATTCATATAAAATTCATGCAATATTGAAAAGTCCAAAATGTCACCTCATGAGGCATCAATGTTATTAAAGTGGTATGGGGTCAGATTAAAGCTTAAGGAAGATGTTTTAGATTAGGTGATCTATGTATTAATCAGTTTTTTAGAGATTGTATAATGTAGTTTCAAAAGTATTTGTATTATGAACAAAAAATTTTTGCAATTTTCAATGTAAGTGTTCTTAATCCCATTTAAATAACATTAATATTGCAAATAAGTTTGCCCATTAAGGTAGTCAAAGCCTCAATACTTGCGTGATTTTTTTTTTATTTTGTGAGTAATTAGTCGTCCAGAAAACAGTAATGGTAACCCCAGTCCAACCTATGTTATATAATTCCCAATGTCATGTGGTTATAAAAAACACTTTTAGTCACAAAAAAACAAAACCAACTTCAAAAATCTCACACACTATTATTTTTCTGTTTCATTTTGAAGAGTTCCTTGATGTATTCTAAGGAGTTCAAGTTTCAAGACTATATGAGAACTAAGCCGAACCCAATGCAAAAAGAATTATATCCATTCATAAATGACGTAAGTCTGAGGTAACAAACATAAGAAACAACATACAAATAGATTGAGAATCCTCCTTTTTGAAGTTGGTTGTAAATGTTAAAATTATGAAAATGGTATTAATGAAATAGAAATCATTGTTGTACCTCTAAGTCACATTATCAATAATATTTATAGTTTAAAACTTTTTAGGATGACATTATTAAGATAATGATTAGAGACAAGTTACCTTCATTACTACATGAATTGAAATATTTTGGCAAAAGAAGGCTAAAAATGTCACTAGATATTTGCTTACAATCACTGAAAAGTTAGCTTCATTTATTTAATTAAATCCACCATAAAATTCTTATAATATAACTGATGCCATAACTTGAATTGATTTAAAGTGTAATGGCTGATAAATCTACAAAGCCCTTTAAAAATACACAATCTAAAACCATAACCAAATTCAAAATTCCCATTTTTGTTATTAACTCACTTTTTAACAAATAAAAATAGTTGCAGTATCCAGCAGCAATGCAGCGCAACCAAATGCTTAGTATAAAACTGTGAACAGATTCACTAGAGAAGAAATGACAAATTAGATTTTGCAATATGTAAATGTCAATCAGTGAATTAGATATTAAAAGATTCATGCTTTTCAAACCACATTATGATGTTCAAAAATTTGTTGAATAACATAATTATCATTTCTTGGACATATTTAATAAAGTATACTATTCAGCTTCATAAGCTTAGGATTGAATTTTATCTAGCTATAAATGTATACCAATAAACATTCAAAATATACAAATTTCATTTAAAATAATCACAAGAAGTAAACATAAACCATTTAAACTATATAGAGCGATTATTAATATTAAGGAAAGGAAAAACAAAGAATGGGAAATAAAAGATTAAAAATAATAATTAAAAACTAATTAGCTATTTCGACAATATTTTTTGTAGCTCTTTATAGAAAAAAAATAATGCAATACAATAGACTGTCATATTAGTAGTTGTACCATTAAGCTTCGTACCTTATTTAAATTCGGACACCAGTTATTAGAGTGACTGTCGCGGCTGCCTGGATGCGCGTAATGGTAATTATTTCCAACTGTACTGGCTGACCAAACCGACATACCTAAATAAATCGCCCGACAGTCCTTCAAGTTGCATTCGACGAGGTCAGCAGTAGATTGTAGTTATAAGTTTAAATCAACAGAATTGCCAAATGTTTTACACACTCAATATAAAATTTTAGTTATAAAATTATTGCCTTTACTTTTCCAGGCATTTGATATTTTTTGCTTTATTGGTTTATTGAATAAAAAGTACATACGAATACGTCTTTTTGACACGAGTTAAATTGACAATTGACATAATTTGACATTTAGTTAAAGTACACGCTACAGAAATGTCTGTTTCTTTTGCTAGTATAGTTTCGTATTAGCACTGTGATTTTAAAACATTCGTTGTGAGAAGTCCCTAAGTAGACAGCCCATGAACCTATGAACCCAGGAGTACAACGTAACTGGTGCAGACGATGGATACGATGACGCTTGTTAACGACAGTCGAATACCCACGGACCTCTCACGACAAATATGTTAAAGCAGTGCTAATATTATTAACAATATATACTTACATTTAATGAAAAAAAATCTTAAGAATTCAATAAACTTTTTAAACCTATTTGCTTCTCTGTTGAACTAAACGTCATTTTAAAATATTTAATCTGTTTTAAGTACCGCACAATTGGTGCACTATGCGGCTCAGGAGCAAAAGAGATGGAGCGAAACATCTCACTCCCTCCCATCACTTTTGTAACGGTATTGCGTCTGTACGGGAGTGTCCAAGAAAGTCTGATACAGCAAACGAGAATGATAAGCGAGTGACAAGTGGTGGAATTGCTTACATTGTGGATAATGTAGGTCGGGTATATGAGGTTGTTTGTATTTCATGTTGGACGTTCTTGAATTAAGGCTAGTTTGATTCGTTTGGTTTATAATATTGCAATCAAAGGCAAAGTGACTGACTATTTAGATTGTGAGTCTGTGATTAAGTGGTTGCTGCATTTTTGAGTGCGTCGCAATGGCTGAGGCTGCAGGTGCCGCTAGCACCAACCCTAACGCAGAGATTGTAAGGGGACAAGTCTTTGAAGTTGGCCCCAGATACACCAACTTACAATACATTGGCGAAGGGGCTTATGGCATGGTGGTGTAAGTATAAAACCTGTCTAAATAGTATAAATAAAGTTTTGATTGAGTCTGGTCTTGTCAAAAATAAGTATAAATTAGGGAAAATACTCTTCTGGATCCTGTACAAGAGTATTTAAGTTTATGTTAAAATGCTGTTATGACCATGAGGATTGTTAAAAATGGATATTTTGTAAAGTTATTCGAAAATGATTTAAAAATTGATACTAATTAAAAAAAACAACAACCAGGCACTATAATTTTTTAAATATAAGAAAAAGAGAAGAAGTCTATAGAAGTAAGATCTGTCAAACATCAACTGTAACTATAGTTACATATAACAAATGAAAGTTTATCAAATAGAACTGTAATAAAACTTGTAAATAAAATTATAGAAAGTTTTCATTGCTTTAAAATGATTTTTTATAATTATTCTTGTGATAATATATCGATTATGGTACATTGTGATATATCTTTATTATGAGATAAGATAGGTATGAAACATGAGTTAGAATATGTTTTATAAGTACACAATTTTTACATTATTCTATTTAAAATTCAAAAAATTGTCTTATTATTATTTGTCTTAAAATATTTATTATTAATTGTAAGGAAAACTAGTGTTGTTCGTGATATACTTCAGAATACATAACAGGAAAATAAGGATACAATATAATAATGTCACTACTTCTATGACTAACAATTTAGATTAAGGGAGCTTCAATTTTTTACTCTTCACTGTATTTATTCACAAAATTTCCATGTGATGCATGTGATGAACTTAAAAGTTGATATCTTTTGGTTATGAGTCACTTGGCACTGCTACTAAGCCAGTATAAGAAATTCTTACAACATAAGACTATGTTATCCTACAGCAAGGCCAATGTTTTTCAACATAGAATAAAGATTGATGAGATTTGAACACTTAAATTTAAGAAATTATTAAACAAACCACATGTTATTGAAAGTAACTAGTACCTATATTTTGTACAAAGTGACTACTTAGTACATTAGGTAAATTATATAAAATTATGAAACAATTGAATATTGTTTTGAATAATAATTTGAAAAAGGTTTTATGTTAGGAGTTTGTTCAGTCTAACCTGCATTAGATTTTCATATTTATTCTAAGATTTTGATGGGCTTATGGCCTTTCATACAATTTTTGATGAGGTATTCTTACTAACAAGTTTTAATATTTGATTACCGGACAGAACAGGTTTACAAGTTTTTAAAGTTACTGATGTATATTGCATTTTCTATATATACAAGAAAACAATAAAAACTGCAATAGAAGAAAGAAGCCTTACTGATGAAAATAAATGCAATATACACCCTAAAGATTTAAATAGATGTATAAATAAATTAACATGATATATTAAATGACGGAAATATGAAACGCGATAAAATCAAGAAAATTAACATGATAAAATTAAAAAACTATTTTGATAGAACTTTCTTTTATTTTAAAGTAACAGCCTATACATGTCCCACTGCTGGGCAAAGGCCTCCTCTATACAGAGGGTATCAGGGCATCGTCCACCACGCGGCCCCACTGCGGATTGGCGAACTTCACATATTTTCGAAATATATTTCTTTTTGTTATTATTTCGAAAATATGCAGCTTTCCTCACGATATTTTCCTTCACCGCGGAGCACGTGATAAGTCAGCACTTAAAGTTAAAAACTTCATTGATGCCGGCACCGGGGATCGAACTCAGGTTGCTAGAGTATATTGAATTAAAGGCGAGCGCCCGGACACTGGGCTATCACGGCTCTTTATTGACATTAGCATAGCTTCATAGCTTTTATTGTACATGCTTATAAATTTTGCAAGAAATAAGAGACTAACCTGCAGATAAATATACTCGTTTCGCCCGGATTTTGTGGCCACTTTTCATTCGAGATTTGATCGTAAATACTTATTCCCGCAAAAATAAAGACCCTTAAAAATCTCCGACTTTAAAATTCACCAGTTGTAACACAATCTACCCAAAGTTTGTTCATCTTTTATAACCTTCGATACGTAGTATCACTGCCTCCTTTAGCCGAACTCGAGTCTACAATGCCCTTGACCCCAGCTTCCCCAAATTACCAGCTTAGTATACCCTTGGCCTCATTCGGCTTTTGCCCAAAGTCCAGAATCATCTGTGGGACCAACAAAGTCGCGAGAAGAACAAAGATGAATTTGATATTTATCTGATATTTTTACTGAGGTATGCCTTGAAGCTGATACATAACTCTTGATTTGACGGTATCGGCGGCGTTTAGGTTTTAATTTTAATTGTATTATTTTCACAATCAATGTTTGGATGATGTTTGCTTCGAATGTATGAATTCTTCTACCTAAAGAAGAGTTTAGGCTAATTTATATTCCTCGAGAGACGATCCATTCCAGTAATAGTAATGCCGTCAAACATTCTACAAATTCTCTAAATAGGTAGATTTTAACACGTAAACACTTTTAAAATGTCCATAGTGCAATCCGTAATTTTGTGATCACTCGGTGGCGCTAATTTTTGGTCACTAATATATCATGGTAATAAAGTCGTAAGTTATTTCAATTATCCCCCGTAGTGCGTCCAAACAATAAAAAATACCCTTTAAAGCTACATAAAAGCTCTTTTCAAGATCTGAATAAAGGCCCATTTTTACACGATACCATTTCCTTGTACATACAAGAGCAATAATTGAATGCAATAAATTGCGCGCAATAATTGTTAAGACCATTTGTTGTTTAGACCATGCAACTCATTTATTGCTTCAATGTAATTGTATACAACAGGCAAGAAACTGGCACCGTGTAAATGGGCCTTAAATATTGAAAGAATTGATTCGATTTATATTAACACCCGTTTGAATTTCTAAAAAGAAAACAGTATTAATAACTGCGCTAATAATACTTATTCTGATATTTCAAACAAACCCATCTAGTAGGTACTTACAGCGCGCTTCTCTGTACGATTATTACGTGACTGAGTTTTACGTGTTCGCAATACAACATAATAGTTTTCATTTCTCGTTGTCGCGAAGACAATTTATATTCCCGTGCAGACGTATAAATAACGAAAATACTCGGCGATATTGAATACGGTTATGGCGAGGGATGTCGGACTAGCTCTGGTGTCGTTTAGCGCATTTCGAATTTTTATCACGTACAAGCTCTCCCGGCGCAATGATCATCTTTGCATGACGCGGCCGCGCTATAATATCATGAAAAATTCAATTCATCCGTGGAAGCCGCGCACGTTACATAAATTATTTCCCCGTTACAAGTGGATGTCCAATGTTGTCTCTTATCGTCGGAAAAGTCTCCGTTTCTACATACGCATATACACCTCCACACGCTCCTTGGTTGGGAAATTTATTCCGTTGTAAAATATAGAAGGCTCCAAATAAAATTCGCTTTTCTCACAATAGGATTTACAGTAATAAAACATCGGGAAGCTAATGGATAGATGGGGTGTTTTTTCTAATACTGTTTCAGTGTCGTAAATGCTTTGTTTTTGCCTCATATATTATACTAGCGACCCGCCACGGCTTCGCACGGATAGCAGCAGAAATTATTCAAAAAGCATTAGTTGATTCGAACCATCAGTCGCTAGGCTAATCTGAACAATGCCTGAAATTTTTAACAAAATCAGTCCAGCCACATACACAAATCAATTTTATTATATTATATATGTTTATATTAAATATAATTAAATTTCAGGTTTCTCGATAGAAGTAATATCGAGTAAAATATGTAGGTTAAACTCGTAAGGCTTACGTCTTCTATAAGCTGACCCCATCTTAATACGTTGTTTCTTCATTAACATAGTAATGGTCTGGCGGTTTAATCGATTATCGAAATTGGATTAATTCTTCAGGAGGTCCCGTCCCGAAGACCCCGGTATTCGAAAGGATCCTTTGACCCAAAGGATTATAAAAGGACGACCTAAAAGCGTGCAATTTATGTCGCAGGATAGGTTTTTGAGTTTGAAACTAGGTAATAAATACCTGTAATTACAAGCTTAAATACTAGGTAATAGAAAGCATTTTAGCTTAGACAGGTAAAAGTACGAAACGCGTTTACAAAAAATACGATCGCATTAATCTATTACAAACAGTTTACCCACCTCTTATTTTTAAACGAACACCCAATTGTCAAACGGGGCTGTTTGAAGGTAACTAACTAGTATTTATAACCACTAATTATTATTATTATATATATATATATAGATTATTACAATATTAATAATGTCAATGTAAAGGATATAATTCTTATATTTTATCTTAAGCCACAAATTGAGGAGGTACCAGGATATTGCTTATGAAATTACAGAGATGAGGTCACAGAAATGCGACCACAACTAAAAAAGGGGTTCAGAACGTACGGACGGTATTTGTTTGACGGTATTTATTTATTTGTCGACATGTGTTCTTTATATTTCGTATACTCCACGGTGTATGTGTAAAGCGCTTATACGCTAAGATTGTTGAAGTTCCTAATGATTTATTGTTATTTTGAAATATGAATAACTAGTAAAGCGGCAAGGTAATAATACTGAAAGTAGACCAATCCGCATTCTGCATACCCATGCATATTATTTTGACGCACTTACAGTAATGTAATTAGCCAAAGCATGTTACGTAATTACAGATTACCATTAGTTGATGTGTCGATGTTGTTCGTTATGGCTCTTCATTCAACATTATTTACCGTTATGCAAGTTATCAACTGCAACCCAACTATATTGGGTATGACTTTGACTATGCTATGTTATTATGGGCAGTAGACATCTCAATATCAGGTGAAACAACAGCTCGTTTGCCATATTCGTACTTAGGCACGGAGAGCATCGGTCCCTTATTAATTAATAGATTTAATGGATTTACTAAAATTTATTACAATCACAAAATCGTGATGCGTGAAGGCTTAATAGATAGAATATTGACGATATACTGAGAATTATAAAAATAGATGCTTCATTTAGTTTTTATCATCGATGCATTACTAAGCACATTTATTCCAGCGTAAGTGA